CTCCAGGACTGACCTTGCACTGCCCTGGGAGGGTTGGGGCTGCTTTGCACCTTCCATGTCCCCCCAGGACTGACCCTGCACTGCCCTGGGGCTGCTTTCCCCCCTCCATATCCCCCCCCGGACTGACCAGGGGCTGCTTTTCCCCCTCCATGTGCCCCCAGGACTGACCCTGCACTGCCCTGGGAGGGTTGGGGCTGCTTTTCCCCCTCCATATCCCCCCCAGGACTGACCCTGCACTGCCCCGGGAGGGGGGTGAGGGCTGGATGCTGCATGGCATGAGCAGGGGGACACACGGGGGACACAGAGCCCCACCAGGACCGCCCTGCCTTGTGCAGCTCTCCCTAAAATCACTGCAGATCCTTTGGGCCACATCCCCCAGGGGCTGAGATGGGTGAGCAGAGGGACCACGAGGTGCTGTGGGTGGGTGGGGGTCACCCCTGGGGTGATGCCAGCTCTGATGCCCATCCCAGTGCCAATCCCCTGCCCCATCCCGCTCCCTGCAGCACAGGGCACCATGTGGGGTCCCCGCCCTGCCTCCCCAGGGCATAACAAGAACACACACAGGGCTTAGGAAATGCCCTGAATTAGGAATTCCATTTGCATCCACAGCCTGGCAGCCTCCAGCTCTGTGATTTCCTCCCGGAATTCCGAGTTCCCACTCTCCTCCTGCATTGTGAGAGGCAGACAGAGAGGGCAGTGCCCAGCCCAGCCCCAGGGCACCAGGGAGGCTCTGTGCAGGGTGCCCAGACCCCGTGGCAATGCTGCCCTTGCCTTGGCAAGGAGAGATGCCCAGGAGGAGCCAGCCATGGGACATTTTGGGTCACCCATCCTGTGCCATGCCTGGCTCTGCTGGGGATGGAAGGGCTGCACAGGGAGCCACCAGCACCTCGTGGGGAGGGTGAGGGTGGCAGCATCACCCTTGTCACAAACCCAGGACCATAAAACAGGGCATGATTGGGCTGGAATGGGTCAAGGACTGTGAGCAGCAGCCGTTCATCACACTGAGCTGGGAGCACACGCTGTGCTCCGCGTTCATTAATGACCAGAACGGGCTCCTGGGGCAGAGCTGGCTGAGTTACCAGCCTTGGCCAGGCTGCAGGTGACACCAGAAGGACGGGACAAGGACACGGGGCTGGGATGTGCCAAAGGCTTTATGGTCTGTGCTTCCCTCCCAAAACACTGCATCAGCCAGGGAAAAGCAGGAGCTGGTGTGACCGTGTTCACAGGGGTCTGGGGATGAGGGAAGAGACGAGGAACTGACTCCATGTTTCAGCAGGCTTGATTTATTATTTTAATAAATTATATAAATATACATTAATAATTAATATAATATATAATATATAATATATAATATATAATATATAATATATATATTAATATATATTACATTAAAACGATACTAAAATAATAGAAGAAAGGATTTCATCAGAAAGCTTGCTAAGAATAGAAAAAGAAAGAATGATAACAAAGTTTTGTGTCTCGGCTCTCTGTCCGAGCCAGCTGACTGTGATTGGCCATTAATTAGAAACAACCACATGAGACCAATCACAGATGCACCTGTTGCATTCCACAGCAGCAGATAATCAATGTTTACATTTTGTTCCTGAGGCCTCCCAGCTTCTCAGGAGGAAAAACCCTAAGGAAAGGATTTTTCAGAAAAGATGTCTGTGACAAGCTGGGCCTGGGCAGAGAGAGGGGGCCAGGGGCCTAGAGCTGGTGGCCCCACAGCCATCTCAGAGCCCTGCAGGGGTGAGGATGTTGGGATGTTGAGTCAGGGATGGAAAGAAAACTCCACTCTTGAGGTGGATCAGAAGGCTCTGTTTAATGAGAGTAGAGGGTCTTTAATAATGGGTCTTGCTAAGGTGATTGGTCTCAAATTAGAAACGTCTCACACTATTGGTGAGCTTGAAATGAGACACATCTAATTGGTCTGAAATTAGAAACATCTCACACTATTGGTGAGCTCAAAATTAGAAATATGTAATTGGTTTGAAAGTAGGAACATCTCACACTATTGGTGAGCTCAAAATTAGACACATGTAATTGGTCTGAAATTAGGAGCATCTCACACTATTGGTGAGCTCAAAATCAGAAATATCTAATTGGTTTCAAAGTGGGAACATCTTACACTATTGGTGAGCTCAAAATGAGACACATCTAATTGGTTTCAAAGTAGGAACATCTCACACTATTGGTGAGCTAAAAATTAGAAATATCTAATTGGTCTTAAATTAGAAACACCTCACACTATTGGTGAGCTCAAAATCAGAAAAATCTAACTGGTTTCAAAGCAGGAACATCTCACATTATTGGTGAGCTCAAAATGAGACACATCTAATTGGCTTCAAAGTAGAAACATCTCACACTTGGTGAGCTAAAACTCAGAAATATCTAATATCTAATAAATATCAGAAATATCTAATTGGCTTCAAAGCAATGAGACACATCTAATTGGTCTGAAAGTAGAAACATCTCACATTATTGGTGAACTCAAAATCAGAAACATCTAATTGGCTTCAAAGTAGAAACATCCCACACTATCGGTGCCCATGAGTAACACACTGTGAAGAACCACAACTCCAAACATTGCTGACAGAAAGAGAGATAATAATTGTTTGAATTCTTTCCTCTACAATTCCCAGGCTCAGCCTGGCAGAAACCCTCTGGTCTGAGGATGCCCAGGTGGCACTGCTGGGCACCGGGGAGGTGCTGAGCCCTGTGGTGAGCACGGCTGCTGTCCCTTGCAGGTGGCTGTGTCCCCAACCCCTGCCTGAACGGAGGCACCTGCGTG